GCTGTATTAGAGAGAGAGAGAGAGAGAGATTGGATCGAGCCGAGAAGAGAGCCGAGATGAGAAGCAGAGTAATAGAAAAGGAAAGGGAGAAAGAGAGTACAGGCCGTAGTTGGTCACAGACAGACGGACAAGCAGACAGCCAGCCACAGACACACTGAAGCTCTACTGTGTTTCGGGGCTGACAAACAGATAGAGAGACAAAGTGAAAAAAGAAAGGAAAAAAAGAAAAAAAAGAAAAAGGTGAACATTGCCATCTATTGCTGGGCAGGGTAGTGTACAAAGGAACCAGCAAAAGAAAACGGTATGAAGGAAGTGCCCCGACAAATTGCGGAACTGCTTTGTCTGGCATGCTTCTTTTTTTTACTACGTTTTCTTCTTTCTCTTTTTGCTGCTGCAGTGTTTTCTGTGACACTATAAAGGTATGGGAATGTGCCCTAGCCAACACCAACCATGGCCACAGCTGCCAATTTCTTTTTTTGCTCAGACATACCAAATAATGGTCCCCTCTTTTTTTTCACTCCTCTTCACTGGAACACTTGAGCAACACTACACAAACACTGAGTTAGACTGAACTGATCAACACTGTACAGGAAAAGTGAAAAGTAACAAATTTAAAAAACAGCTTGCTTTGTTTGCTGTTTCTGGGTAGTATGTTATAAACTTTGTATCATTAATTAAAAATATAAATATTTATATTGTTAAAGTGTGTGTGTTAGTTTGACAAAATTCAAGTGAAAAAGTTTTTTAAATTGTAACCAGGAGGAAAAAAAGTGAGTAGGAAAAGTTTAAACGTGTGACGCCAAAGTGTACAAAATACAACAAATGTGTGAATTTATAAAAATGAAAATAAACAAAAAAACTTATTGTATGATAAAAGTATTTGAAGTAAAATTACATTGATATTTAATACAACTTAAAAACGTTAAATACAAATGTGTCAATGTTTAATATATAAAATATTTTACTTAAATCTATTATTATTTTGAATAGTGTTTAGATACTTTTCATCAGTTTTAAGTTTTTGTTTACAAAAATAAAAAATAATTTTTGCAAAAAAATGTAGAAAATTAAAGGAATGATTGTTGGATACATTGTGTGCACGAAAGTGTTTTAAAAAACAAAAAGCTAAAAAACTAGGTTGTTAAAAAATAAAAAGATAAAATTGTAACCTTGTAATTGTGAAAAAATTAAAAATAATTTATGAAAATGCCATTAATACGAGCAATGCTGCTCAACAATGAAAATGAAAATGATGATGATGATGAAAATAAAAATGATTATTATGAAAATGAGTTATTCCAGCGACGAGTACAAAAAAGTTGTAATAATTAACAAAACAAAAAAGTTTTGATTTGTGCAAATTAAAGTTGTGATCAGCGGAAATGAGTAGAAAAGATGTGACAGTGAAAAAATGTATTGAAGAAAGGGGTGTTCAAATATTATTTGTGAAAGAAGAATTAAAAAAAGAAGTGGAGTTTTAAATTAGGTCGGATTTCGTAAAAAAATGTTACAAACAAAAAGTTCACTATCGTTCACCGCCATTGGTCGTGACCACCGTGGTTCGTTGATTTACCGAAGATGAGCTTTTGCTGTTGTTACTGCTTGCAGCAGCAGCAGCACCTTTACCGGTTCCGGAGACGGTAACACCACCGGGTCCACCTCGTCCACTGTTGATCTGATTGTTCTCATCCTCTGCCGCTGCGCCGCTTGTCTTTGCGAACATCTTCATCTTCTCGGCAAAAGACAACTTCTCGGGGACCTTGTCGCCGGCCAGCGCCGACTGACTGGCATTGGTGGCCGCCAGTCGTCGGGCTGCCTCGATTCGCTGCCTCGGGTCATTGTAGATCTCCTGCGTGCCGATGACGCCCGAGGTGTGGCCGCTGCTGACGTACTTGGTGTGCCACTCCTCGTCGTAGCTGTTCGCCGTCAGCATGTCACCGGCGGTAGTGTCATCCTGAGCAGCAGATCCCGACGAAGAGGTGTTGGCGCCGCCTGTCTGGTTACCTTGGCCGCCTTGGCTGCCGTCGCCTCCGATGACCAGGGCCTCTTCGATGTCCTGCAGCGAAAACGTCTCCTCGAGGTCATCGCCACCACCACCACCACCACGACCATTTCCTAGCCCATTATTTTGGGCTCCCCCATTACCACCGTAGAACTCCTCGTCGTCGTCCTCTTCCTCGTTGTTGTTGTTGTTGTTTTTGTTGGTAGTATTTTCAACTCTCCTGTGTTGACGATTACCTTCTTGCTCATCATTATCGCTGCGATCTCCCTCATCCTCGTCGTCCTCCTCATCATCCTCTCCGTCTTCTGGCGTCACAACCACGGTCGTTTTCGTGTTCCAGGAGACCTTCTTTGGTGCGGCGTTTGAGCTGCTGTTCGATGATGACTGGTCATGATTGCCTCCAGAGCCCCCTCCTGAGCCATTGTAGGCGGTGCCGTTCTTGAGGACGCCCCCTCGAGGCGCCACCATAGTCAACGGCGGCAGCTGAGTGGAATCATCGCTGGCTGATTTGGAATGTGCAGTGGAGAGCAGTAGGCGGTCGAGGCGCTGGTTCGCCGACTCCACCGGCGGCGGAGAGTTGGGCAGGGGCGGGGGAAGGTCGTTGTCGAGGTTGTTGTTGTTGTTAAAAACCGAACCCGACGATTTGAGGATGCCTTTTGAGACCAGCGGCGGTGCTCGATGATGATGGTTCGGAACTGATTCGTCATCCTAGAAAACATAAAAGGCAAAATTAGTATAAGTTTCAGTAAAAGGCGATACCCAGTTCAAAAATGTTTGCTTCCCTGCGCTTTTCCACAAAGCATGTCTTTCAATGAGACTTGTTAGCATTCTTTGAGTGCAAATTCCAAAAAAACTACAAGACAGATTTAAGTGATGTAAAAACTAAATTGTAGTATAAAACTTAATCTACACTTCTGTGGTTAAAAACGTTAGGAAAAGTCGGTAAAAAATAAACAAGTCCTATTGATACTCATTGAAACACATGCTTTGTGGACAGCACAGGCAAGCCCACTTTTCAGTAAATCGAGTGTAGCCTTAAGGAGCTTAGGGGAGACAAACCTGTCGTCTTTTGGCGGCCTCCTGCAGCAGTCGTTCCTCGGCCTGCTGTGCGGCTTCCTCTTCCAATCGAAGCATCTTCAAGCGTTCTTCCTGTTCCTCGAGCGTCTTGTTGAGCTTTCCATCCGAGCCCGCCCTGGCCTCCATCAGGTCGTTTCCGCCGCCGTAGCGACCCTCCAGTCGGCGCTGTCGGGTGCGTTCAATGTCCGCCTGGAGGGCGATCATTCGCTCCCGCTTCTCCGCCCGGTCGAGCATTCTCGCAGTGGCCTCCTCGTCCTCGTACTCGCCCTCGCCGTAGTAGTCGTCGCCGCCGTTCTTTGCCGCTTCCTCGGCTGCCCGCCGTTGGAAGTCCCGCTCGGTAAGCAGTGCCCTCAGGCGGTCCTCATTCTTCGGGTTGCGGTAGGGCAGTGACTCCAGGTGGCGAATCTCCTCCTCGCGACTGCGCTCACGACTGTCTTCGTTTTTCAACGCCTGCTCCTGTGGTGGTGGTGGTAAAACAAAGTTAGCTTAAAAACGTTTTTTCCTAAACAGTTTCCTACCTTTTCCTTCTCTTCGCGCTCCCAANTCCTGTAGTGGTGGTGGTGGTGGTGGTGGTGGTGGTGAAACAAAGTTAGCCTAAAAACGCTTTCCCCTAAACAGTTTCCTACCTTTTCCTTCTCCTCGCGTTCCCAGGGCGACGGTGAGGTTTTTCCACCTGATGTCCGTCCCAGTGCCAAAGTGGCAGCGCTTGACGACTGCATTGACTTAGTTGTAGTGGTGGTGCTGTTGTTGTTGTTGGAAGCTGTTGCCGACGACTGAGGATATCCACTGGGGCCGTATCGGTAGCTGACCTGGGTGGCCATCGGCAGCTGTTGACTGCTCGAAGATGAAGATAGTGATCCAGGCTGCTGCTGCTGTTGGAGACTGCCTGAAGAGCTAAATGCCGCTGATGCGGGTCGATTTGGCTTTGGAGCAGGGGCCGGCGGTTGACCGCCTCCACTGCTGCCGCTGCCAAGGCGATTTCCAGCCGATGGATACTGTTGCTGCTGTTGCAAACCGGAAGTTCTCAACAAAGTTCCTGAAGATGTGGAAGAGGAGGCCATCATCGATGGTCTGACTTGACTTGATGACGTGGAAGCCAGCGATGAGGAAGCTCCCAGCACCTGGCGGGAAATTGCAGCATTGCTGTTGTTGTTTCCGTTTGGTCCTCGATCCTCTCGTCGACGAAGTTCTTCTCGAATCTCCTCCATTTTTGCCTCTTGGCGCATCAGATCTCGTTGGCGAACTTCGAGGCTGGTGGCAGCGGCGGAGTTTCCTCTCGGCGACTGAAGCTGTCCATAGTTTGCCTGCTGCTGCTGGTTACCAAAAATGGGCATCTGCTCCTGTTCTCGACTGGTGACCAGAGCAGAGACTGGCCGTCCCATGACGGAGGTTAGCTGAGAAGGCGCCGCCGAGCTGACCATGGACTGGTCGTAACCTTGAGGAGGCTGCAGTGATGAGTGTGATCCGTGGTGAAGAGGCGGACCCATTTGGGCCAATCGAGCCGCCGCCGGATTTCCCGCAACAGGACCACCAGGACCGATTGGACTGCCCGTTCGAGGGTTCAGCTGGTAGAGTTGAATGTTCTGGTAGTGCCGTTCCTCGTACAGTCCTCCACCTCCGGGCTTGCTGTTGAAGCTGAGTTGGGAGTCGGAACGCATTGGAAGCTGTTGCTGTTGCTGTAGAAGCAATTGTTGTTGCTGCTGTTGATGGTGATGCTGCAGCAGGAGGGAACTGTGCGAACTGGAGTTGTGCCCCAACATCTGAGGACCGCCAGGACCGCCTCGAGCTAGGCCAGCCTGCTGCTGCATTTGCTGCTGGCTGTACAGGCTGCTGCTGCTGCTGCCCATTGGAAGTGTGTTGTAGGCACCGGGGTTGAAGTTGGGACCGCCGGGAAGGGTCACTAGAGTTGATGAATTGTGAAATGAAATGTTGGGTTAAAGTGTGAACTAAACATTTGCCGTCTAACGGGGTACTTACTGCCCATTCTCGGGTGGCCCATCAAGTTCTGGTTGCTCATGGCACGAATGGCGCCGTACTGGTCCGCTGCTGCCTGGCTGGCGTTTGGCACATTGGCAAAACGAGGCCTCATTGTGGCTGTGGTAGTAGTAGTACAACACAGGCAAAAAATTAATACACTAATGAAAAGGAACAATAGCTATTTAGCCACACAATCCATTACCTTGCTTAAGCAGCGACGTCGTCGAGGCGGACTGCTCCTTCAGAAGTCCACTTAGGCCGTGAAAGACGGCCCCCTGCTTGGCCACCTCCAGCGTCACCACCGGCCCAGTGTTGGTCATCAGCTTGGCGGCGTTCTCCTGGTCGATGCCGATCAGCGAGTGGCCGTCCACCTTCAACAGCTGGTCACCTGCCTTCAGACGACCATCCTATAAACAAAGAATTACGTTATTATCAAGTTAACTTATCTAAACCCTCTTTTAAAACACTCACCAAATCCGCCGCTCCATCCTTCACCACCGATTTAATGTAGATGCCCTGCACTGGCTGATGAGTGCCCTGCGCGGCGACGATGCTCAGGCCGATGCCGTTGTTGATCTTCTGCAGTTTGATGATCTGCACCTCCGGCTCGGGCATCGTCCGCATGCCGTTGAAGCTGTTAAACATGGCGGCGTGTGGCGGCGGCATTGCTCCAAAGCCGGGACTGCCTGGAACCATGCCGGAAATGGAGCGTTGAGGCGAGGGGAGCGGCGACATGCCTGGCGCCGGTCTGAACTGTCCGTTCAACATCAGCTGACCGGCGGAGGCGGAAGTGGCCAACGGATAACCCGGGCCGGCGAGGGGCGTTGCCACCAGTGTGCTACTTTTGCTGCCCACCGAGCCGCCACCACCGCTGCCGCCACTCGATTGATCTCCACCGGAAAAGTGGCCCGAGGTGGAAGTGGTGGTGACCGTTCCTGAAGAGCTCTGCGTCGAGGTTTCCTGCGAGTTCATTGCCTGGTGGTAGTGGTGGGGATGCTGCTGCTGCTGATGTTGGTGATGAGCCGCCGCCGCCTGTGCCGCCACCTCGGGCATAAAGTTGATGAAGTAGATGGTCCAGTAGCCGGAGGCAGTCGGCTGGACGGTCAACTTGGCCACCCGGGCTGCCACCAGGGACTGCACAAAGTCGGCCAGCGTCGCGGGAATGCCCACGACGATATCACAGGAGTAGCCGTCCTCGGGGAGAAGGAAGGGCAGCTGCAGGTCGATCTCCTCCTCCAGCCTCACTTCACGGCCCTCCTTGAGAATTAGCTCATCAGTGGCGACGCGAGCCTGCTTCACTACCGCCTCAATCAGCGCCGGGTCGCGCAGGAGGCGGACAAAGGCGGCGTTAGCCAGCTCTTCCGCCCCGGTGGGCTGGTAGCGCTCAAAGAGGGCTCGCAACTGAAGGGAGTTGAGTTTGTAGAACTTGTCCACCAAAGCGGTGAGCTCCTCTGCAGAGCGACCCGCCTTGGGCGCCTGCAGAAATTGGGCCGTCTGGGCGATGCGGGAGAGGTGACACTCGGCGGCCAGCTCCAGGCCCTGCTTCTCCGCCCAGGCCTCAATCTCGAGGAGGGCCGCCTTGAGGCGGTCGCCGTAGGGGCGGCTGCAAAGGTTCGACTCGGCCGTGCCCAGCACCCGATTGAAAAGCCACATGTTGATGTAGTGGAAAAGCTGCGAGAAGAGCTGAATGGTGAGGGCGGCGTTGACGCGGAAGCGTCGCAGCAGTGCCATGCTGTTTGAAAGGACGGCAAGGACGCGAGCTGTTGAAGTTGAAGTTGTAGAAGAGGTGTTGCTGTTGCTGTTTCCTGGCGACCGCTGGTCATCAGGGAAGGCGGCCAGCGCCTCCTTCAGCTCCGCCTGCTGACAGCGGACCAGGCCACCGAAGGCGTACTGCACCGCATCGGCGAGAATCTCCTGCGACTCCAGCGTGAAGGCAGCCAGGTGGCGGTCGTTCTTGAGAAAGTGCAACAGCTCGCTGCTGTTGGCCAGCCAAAAGGCGAGGTGCGCCTGGGCGCGCTGGCGCTCGCCGATCTCCTTGTGAATCAGCTTGGCGTAGCGAATGCAGAAACCGATCAGTAGGGTGGCCCGCTGGTTGGGCACAATCTCCGGCTTGAAGTAGGTGGAGGCGCGAAAGCGGGTCACCATGTACAGCGTGTAGGTGATGGCCAGCTTAAATTGAATGGCATTCGGGTCGGCGCGGGTGATCAGCAGGTTGAGGAAGAGCGGCTCGATCTCCTCCCAGACTTCGAGAATCGCCGGAAGGATGTTGTCACCACCTCCAGCGCCAGGTTTTCGCATTGTATTGGAACCAGCTGGGCCTGTTTGTTGTTGTCCGGCTGCCTGAGCGCTTCTCAGCTGCATCATCATACTGGTGGGTGTGCCCGAAGGCGGTGGCATTAGCTGCTGTTGCTGCTGCTGCTGCTGTGCATCAAGACTGCTCTGGTGGTGATGGTGAGGGTGGTGATGAGGGTGATAGCCTCCTCCTCCTCCTCCGCTGTTGGCGCTAGCGGAACGAGGCAAACTGCCCGTCGGGAAGGGCTGATGCAGTTGATGCTGGTGTTGCTGTTGAAAGTTGCTGTGCGAATTTCGCTGCAGTGATCCCGAGCTGAATGAGGGGTGAACGGAAGCGGGGGCTGTCTCCACTTTGCCCTCTGCGTCAAAAGTGGTCTCGTAAGAGGCGTTCGCAGTCATGGCGTTCAGCGCTGCTGCTGAGCTGTTGCCCTCTGAAGCTGCCGCCGCCTGAGCGGCAAAGTGCTGCCCGATGATGGCCCCTGTGGAAGTGGACAGCTGCCGACGGAGGGCGTCGCCCTCGTCGACGAACTTGAAGGTGTGCAGTTTCCCGAAGCGGACCAGCATGCCGTGCTTCAGAATAGTCGTCTCGGTAATGCGCGTTCCATTGACGAAGGTCTCCGCCTCGCGGCTGCACGGCGTCACCGTGATCAGCCCCTCGGAGTGGGTGATGATGCAGTGGCGAGGGAGAATGTTCGGTCCCAGCAGTTGGATAGAGTTGGAGCTGCGATNTTGACGAAGGTCTCCGCCTCGCGGCTGCACGGCGTCACCGTGATCAGCCCTTCGGAGTGGGTGATGATGCAGTGGCGAGGAAGAATGTTCGGTCCCAGCAGTTGGATGGAGTTGGAGCTGCGATTCGAGTTGCTGTTGCTGGCCTGGGAAGAAGAAGGAGGCGGTGCTCGACCGCCCAGCGGACCCTGACTGCCGGCTCCTCCACCGGCCAGCATGGCCGCATCGGCCGCCCCCACCTCGGTGACGTTCATGAAGAGAAAGTGACGACGGGGCCCGGTGGTGCCGGGAATGTTGCTGCTTCGCCCCAGTGTCAGCTCGCTGCCGTCGGCGTTCACCTCCACAATGTACGGCATCAACTTGGCGCCGCCGTTCAGCAGCGCCGAGGTGGCCGTCTCCTCGCCGTGGACTGGCTGCTGTTGCTGCTGCTGTTTAGTAATAATGCCAGCTCCAAGATCAGAAGCCACCGAGCTGTTTCCGTCAAAGGACTGTGGATGTGGCTGTTGTCCGCCAACCGAGACGCTGCCCGGTGACTTCTTCTTCCGCTTTCGAGGCTGAAAGTCCGGTGGACGACGGCGAATGTGAAAGGTGAGCACGCCGCGACTCTTCAGATGCGACCGCTCGATGATCAGCGGACAGTCGTCGTCGTCGAGGATGTACTCGCGCACGGGGCCTGAAGACGAAATCGGAGAAACGGCGTTCTCCGCCAAAGGAGCAGCTCCGTTAGCACCGGAAGAAGTTTCCGCTGAAGTAGTTTGCTGCTGTTGTTGGTTGCTGGGAACGGAGGTGCCGTTTGCGTAGGGAACGATGATCTGCACCAGGCAGTAGTTGGCCGGTTCCTCCTTGTCCTTGCCGTACTTTTCCAGTATCTCCTTGACGGCAAAGGCGGCGGTGTCCTGCGTGGAGAGCAGTATCGTCTTGTAGGGCACGTCCTGGTTGATGGACTCGCCAAAGATGCGCAGCGTTCCGCCCGCCTCAGGGCCGCCCTCGGCGCTGAACTGTTGCAACTTTTTCTCCAACTTTTGCTGCCGGCGACGGCGCATCACCGCCTCCGGATTAGAGATGGACCGTGTGAAACTGGTTTCAGGGAGTTCAGTGTAGAGCTTCTCTGCAAGAGAGTCCTTGCCGCCCTTATCGGAGCCCTTGGCGGCTTTCTCCTTCTTTTCGCGTTTCTTTTTCTCCTTTTTCTCACGTTTGGAGAGCTTTCGATTGAGGAGGTTGCCGGAGGTTTCGGTGTTAGAGATGCCGGAGAGCTGATAGGTGGTAGTGGTGGTGAATGAAAAGTTTTAGTTTGTCAAAATGAGTTGAAAAGGTAGATCAAAGTTGGCAAAATACAAAACAAAAATGATGTAAGTTAGGGAGAACTTGCAAATGTTTAAACACAAACACAACTAAAGACTGCTGCTGCTATTGCTGGTAAAGTGACTGCACTACACAAACTACAACTGCACACTACCGAAGCGCTGATGCAAATGCCATCAACATGGTCAACACCAGTGACCACGAGCAAACATCAGTGATCAGAACCATCCTCTCAGTTTGCTGAACTGCTTAGTTTTTATGCTTCATAAAGTAGACTAGACTAGCTACCTCCTCCTCCTTCTTTTTCTCCAACTTTAGTACCTCGCCACTTTGAAGAGCAATTGCACTGCCACTGCCAGCACACACACACAGACACACAGCCAAAGACAATAACTTACATTGGTCTTCTCGTCCATTCGGCGCAGCAGAAAGCGGCCCTCGCGGTCGTCCTTGTGCCAGTTGAGCTGCACCAACAGCGGCATCTCGCTCTCCGCCAGCTTGCGCTCCTCTGCTCGCAACCGAACCGAATAGAAGCACAGCACATCACCACGACAACAGCAGCAACAAAGGAGTCATTAAGAGCAGTCAAGAGTGGAGGGAACACATTTCAAGGTAAACGGCAGAGAGGGAGAGAGGATGAGGAGCAAAAGGAGTGAAAATGAGTTATGAGCACAGGGAAGAAGAATTTTTGTGGTGGCAGTGGTGGTGGTGGTGAGGTACTTTGCCAAAGTGAGGGTGAACTACCGTCACCCCTTTTTTTCTCCCCCTACCAACTTAGCCCTTAACTTACCGCCGTTCTCATGAATTTCATAGAGGGCATACTCGGGCACGCTGAGCATGCGAATGTCCGGACGGAACTTCTCAATTAGATTGGCAATCACGTCGTGCGTCGAGGCGCTGGAGCTGATGCGCAGACACTTGGTGGCCACCTTCTGACCGGCGTCCTGAAAGTAGAAACGCATCACACCGTAAAATTCCAGGTCCTGGAGGTTTGGAGGAGAAGAAAAAAAAGGTACGAGTTGTTATTATAAAAGTTTCTCAATGTTTATAATCTATAACTTAATGGCAATTATTTCAGTATCTTTTTGACATTTTTAAGATTGATAAAATCAGTTTTATTTCGATTATTGCTGTTAAACAATAGAGGCAATAGAGGAAATGGCATTTGTGTGTTTTGCAATGACTTTTTGAAAACAAAACACAGGATTACAGTGCTTGTCAGCTTTGCCAAAACACACGCACACACAGACTCTTGACATCTAGAGCACCAACTACCAAAACAATATCAGCTATTACAACAGCAACAACAACACTGACAACAACAACAACAACTAATTGTGATAATCATAAAAAGCTGCCGTTGCAGGTTCTTTGTACTTCCTAAGACGACGTAACTGACGCCGCCAACTCTTTTTTTTCAATGCCCATAGTTTTCCCCGTTTCTCACTCACACCTGTTTGCCCACTACTACCACTGCTGCTGTCGCTGCTGCGACTTCTTTTCTCTTTTGTTGGCACAATAAAAAAGACAATAGCAGTGAAAAAAAAGTAATAGAAGTAGTAGATCATAATAAAATTGAGTTTTGAGACAAGGAAGCCCACGAGACACTGAGCTGTGCTGAACTGAACTGAGTACTTTCACCAAGCAAGTATTTGCAAAAGCTGCAAATGAAGGAAAAGGAGGACAAGACAAAGCAGCAGCAGCACAATACCGAAAAAGTTGAAGAAAAAGTGAAAACGTCCAACGCCAATTTTGGTAAACGAGAAAACAGAAAAGACAATAAATCTTCAGTGAATAAGAAAAAGTAATGAATGCTAAAAGACAATTGATTGAGAAAGGAAAGATTGCTAAAAAATGGAAGCCGGTAGTTGGTAGATGATGGCACTTGTACCGGCAGAAACGTTTCCTATTATGTCAGTGTTTTGGCTACAAACAAATGAGCTGACTAATTATTACCACGCAATATGGTGGTTACAAAGTTGTAAAAGTTGTAGATCAAAA